TTTAAAATATTAATATAGTTCTTTAATTACTGTGTCATTGATTTTATTTTACAGATTATTAAATTTAGGGCAACATTAAATGTTAAAATGCCAAAGTAAAGTACTTTACCTTTTAGTTCTAGGAGACAAATCTCCAAGGTCAAACGTAAAAAAACAGAAGCTGGTCATTTGTCAGGAAAATGTGAAGGTTGCTTCTAATTTAAAAATATATATTTTGTTCTTCTGTTCCCAGGGCAATAAACGTCTTCATCAGCGCAAATCGGCTCATCCACCAAACCAACCTCATACTGCAGACCTTTAAAACCGTGGCCTAGCCCCGCAGAGACCACCGAGTCCCCACCCGACACCACCCTGTGTGGGGAGCACAGGAGCCTGAGGAGCGCCTCACCCATATATGTAAATTAGAGTTGATTTTAGGGTCGGGGTCGATTTCATTGGAGTCAAGATTCTAGATTCCAGTTCAAGAGACTGAAAAGTGCCATTTGTTTCTTAATGAGGATTTTCCAGTCTTGAAATGGAACTGAATGGGCCCAAAGTCTTGGTGAAATTGGTTTTATTTGGAGAGTTTTAATTTATAACCCTGGTCTTGTTGGGAGGTGGTGAGGTGAGGTGTTTGTACAAGACTAATTGCCATTTTTCTAATATATTCATCATGTTGATCGTTTTAATTTTTAGCTTTTCGGTCACGACCACGTTCAGTTTAGAGGTTGAGTCTCAGCCTTCTACACTGGTTTTTCCTCTTCTCGCCTCCTTTTTGTGTCATTTTGCCACGGTGTGTATGCGCAGGATTGACAAAACTATAAAAAAAAAAAAATCACCCCGAGTGCAGGTAAAGCAGTCACAAGGAGAGGAAGCAGTTTGGACATTTGAGAGGCAGACTCTGATTTTGTTTCTCGTTATTATCAGAAGACAGAAAGCCAAATTACTTCCAGCACTGTGTGCGCCTTACAAAGTCCTGTAACATTCCCTCTGAGTCTAATGAAGTGGAACCAGCTCCTGCTGTCAGGGGACTTAGAAAGTGAAATGAAACTTCTGTATTTAACTGATATCTGGTTGCAAATGTTCAATAAATAGTTTCCAAATGATGCCTTTTTGAATGTCTTCTGTGGTTATGAAGATTGGAAAAACACTGTTACGGTCCCAAACCTAGGAGATCAGGGGGTAGCAACATAAAATGTGTAGTTTGTATGGTATGGTTTATGGTATGGTTTGTAAGGCAGGTCCCTTACTTCTTCATGTACTGCCTCTAAGCTAATTTTGTTAATTTATATTAAATATTTATATCAACTTATTAAAAAAATGGGGGTGGGGGTGGACTGCTGACCCAGACAGAGTATTGTCAAATGGTGTTGGATTCTCACAATCTTGTTACTGAGTTCCTTTCTGTGGCCTCAAGAGAGGGCAAGTTCTTTACCTTGGCAGGGGTTGTTGACATATTTAAGCTGCTCTCTGTCACACTGTAAGACTTACAACAATGATCCCTGAGGCATTTCATGGGAGTTAATAGTCTGAGGTGCCTGGACACACTTTTGTGCTTCAGCACAGGCAGTTATGCAAAGTAATAAAAACATAGTAGGATTGAGAAAACACAATCCAAACTAAAAGTTGAGATGTTGTATAAGATGTACATTAAAACTGAATCTGGTTATTTACAGATCTTACAAACCCATTGTATTTACAACTGAATATATGTTTAGGGTCTAAACTTATTCAGTTATATTCAACAAGATGTCCTGTATAAGAAGGGCCAGAGTCGACTCCACCTGCTGAGGAGACAGAGGTCCTTCGGTGTCTGCAGGACTCTGTTAAAGACATTCTACGACACGGTGGTAGCATCTGCCCTTTTCTATGGAGTGGTCTGCTGGGGGGCTGGATGTACTGAAAGGGACAGGATCGACAAACTGGCATGGACATCTAGCTCTGTGCTGGGATGTCCTCTGCAGCCTGTGGTTGTGGTGGGTGAGGGGAGGATGTTAGCGAAGCTGACAGCCATCATGGACAACCCCCACCACCCTCTGCAGGAAACCGTTGGGGTTGGGGTTGGGGTGTCCTCTGCAGCCTGTGGTTGTGGTGGGTGAGAGGAGGATGTTAGCGAAGCTGACAGCCATCATGGACAACCCCCACCACCCTCTGAATGAAACCATGGGGGGGGGGCTGAGCAGCTCCTTCAGTCAGAGACTTAAACATCCTCGCTGCAGGACGGAGCGCTTCCGTAGGTCATTAATTCCAACTGCAGTTAGACTGTATAACACATCATGATATCAGTCACTTGGACAATTCACCTGCACTGCAAATCACTAATATGCACCTTCATATACTGTACATTCATTTTTGTACTGTACTATACAGTGTGTATATTGTTATGGCCTATAGCTCAAAACCATAACAAATAAAAAGGGAAGCAGGCAAGTGTAACTTAAAATAATTTATTATTAACTAAAGCAAAAGAAAAAACCCTAAAGAGAAAGAATGGGGAGGCCTCCCTCCTGGTGAAGGCAGCTCTCAAGTAAACTCCACTGGAGACTCTGGCCAGCTGCCTTCCATCTCCAATCAGCTCCAGAAACACCTGAGCCTGAAACAAATATACACAGAGAGGGAGAGGGAGACACCAGGGTCTGGGGTCGTAACAATATGTATATAAATGTATATGCATATGTGCTTATGTATGTGTGTATATGTGCATTTATATATGTACATTACTATATCACATGTATATTGTGTTTTTTTTTGGTTTGTTTTATTTATCTTTATTCTTCTCACCCTCTCCTGTACTGAGCTGCAGTAATGTGCATATTTCCCCACGGTGGGATCAATAAAGTTTTATCTTATCTTACCTTAAAATTTAATTGGATGTTAGAAGGTATGAGCCCAATACATAACTGATAAAATATTAGTCAACCAAATCATAGAACTTTAATAACTTCAGCTGATAAAATTTATTTGATGGCTGACTGTAATGTTTTGATAATTCTTACACCTCTTTTCTGTAAAATAAAAATAGGATTTGCAATTGCTTTGCGTGCTTTCCCGCTTCACTGTAATATTCAGAGTCTTTAATTACAGGAAAGAATTTTGAATCTATCATCTGCATTATATATTTTAGTCTATGAGTCTTTATATTCACATTTTAGTGTATATATCCATTTGTCCGTGTAGTTTAATTCATTTCGTGCCATTTGTTTGTTATTTAATTTTGTCATTTGTCCCCTCTTTAACTCATCTAAATCCTTAAGTTATTTTATTATTTTTGCCTGAGATCCTTCCACAGTAAATTTTGCAGTGTTAAATCAACACTTAAGAGTTGAATTTATCACTGTGTCCAAGTCTATTTGGTCCTTATCTGAATTGGTGTCAATTTTACTCTTTCCATAGTGTTAAATTTTCAGAGTACAATTCAACTCTAAACAGAGTTAAAAATTAACACTGACTAACACTACAGTGTTAATAAAACTTAACACCTCAAGTCAACTAAGTATGATAAGAATAATGATTCTAAGCAGAGTTAATAAGGTACTCCACTGTGATGACAAATCAACTCTAATTCTCATGCTTTTCAACACTGCATTGAGTTATTGATGGTTAACACTGGAGGTTCATATATTTCCTATGAGTGTTAATTTGACACGCAACTGTGTTGATTACTTACTCTTTTGCTGTGTAGAGGGGTGTAAAACAGACATGTAACAAAAAGCCAACAAAAATAAATGTTTCTTCGTGTGCATTTTAATAGCCTCAATAGACGGGGGTGGTGTGTGTGGGTGGGGGGGCACTTTAATCAGCAGCACCGGGCTTTTTCCATACTTCATCTTCAGTTTTTGGACGACAACATCTCCACTCTCTTCAGCACCCGGTCCACGTTAGGAATCAGTTTTTCATGGAAGGCCCACAGTCGTTTGTCCTCATGAAGGAGCTCCAATGGTATGGTCCCACCCGAGCAAATGTGAATGATCCGGCAGACCTGTGGAGGAACTTTGTACTCTTCTCCGAAATGCTTAATCACTTCATGCACTGAAGTCTGCTCCACCATCCTGCGATGCAAGAACACAGAGGGAAGTTGAAATAAAATCTGCTTTTAGATTGGGTGTAGTTTAAATTACATAAAAATAGTATTAAATAAGGGTCCATCTTGAGTTTGTAAAATCTAAGTAGATAAGTAGAAACCTGGCACATTTTACAATTTGTCTTTAGCTATCAAAGTTCAGTATGATTATAACGGTGGGATAAAGCCAGCATTTATCCAATGATTCATCTCTGGGGGTCTGTGGGGCTGTGGGCTGACCTCGGCTGGCCCAGCCCACAGCCCCATAGACCCCCAGAGACGCTGAGTGTCAAAGCCCAGCATTTATCCAATGATTTGTCTCGTTTTCCTGCACTCTTTGCTTTGCTGTTGAACTCTGTGGACACAGTTTAAAGCACTGTGAAGCTGCAGGAAGGAGTGAGAGGAAAGCTGCGTCATTAGCAGTGATAAGAAGCTGATTCTGAACAAAAGTTGAGCGCGTTGTAGCGCATATTTAGTCAATGACATACACAAAACAGTATATATTTGATCACTACCTTTTTGACATTTTAGGGCAGGGGTGTCCAAACTTTTTGCAAAGAGGGCCACAGTTGGTTTTGTAAAATATGTGAGGGCCGACCAGTCTGTTTGGCATGGTTTGAACCATTAAAATTAAACGCAAATGAAATATTTTATGAAATTTTTATTGCAAGTGGCATAGTTTTCATTTCTTTACAGAACAAATAAATCTAAAAGTTTTTACCACATTTAATCAGTGTTTTATATTTGATGATCACATAAAATGAAAACAAAGTGTCTGGGGCAAAAGCCCTCTGGCAGATTAAACATAACCATATCCATTTGAAACAGGAATTGTTCACTATTAAAGGCACTATTAAAGGCTCTCTGTAAACTTAAAAACTTGACTCAAATTTAACTCAGTTCAAAACTGTGAACAGGATAGTTACTTTCTTCAAAAATCCAAAACAAGCACTGAGAACAAATGATACACAGACTGGAAAAACTCTGTGCATATTTATAAATGTGGTTTTGATAATCACAAAAAAATAATAATAATAAAATAAACCCCTGACATTTTTGAATTGAAGCATTCCAAATAAAACAACTTACCTTCACTGATGTGAAGGGTGACACTGGGATTTTGACTGCAGTAAATAAGTTATATTTGGTTCAAAATCAGTTTTGATGCGCAAAACGTCACTCAAGTGAGGGTCACTTAGTCTCGTCCTCAGGCAGTTCTTGTTAATGTTCATGACAAAGAATGTCTGTTCGCACAAGTATGTTGAACCAAACAAGCTCAGCATTTTTTTTAGCAAATGTGCTAACTTCTTGGAACCTGTCTTTGTCCAGCTGGCGGTGAAAGTTTACAAGGGGGCAGCGCTTGGTGCCGACTGCGACACTCGGCATCACACTGCAGCTCAATGAGCTCCAGCTGCGGGTGGTCTGGAGCATCATCTGGGTCCACGGAGAATGGAGAGGAAAACAGCACAATGTCCTTTTCAAAGCCAGCCAAACTGGATCGGATAATTCTGGCATCCGTTGTCCCTTTTCTGCCAAAAATTGTCCCGATTTCCTCCCTAACCCCTAATTTACACTACATGCGTTCTGGCTCCGCTCCGGTCCGACCTCCGCAGCAACTAAGCACCCATTAAAAATCATTGGGCCTCATGCAAGAACCGTTCGTACGCACAGATTTGTTCTTAAGTTGTGCGTACGAGTGATTTAGGAG